TTCTTCCATCTAAAAACAGCTTTTTATTCTGGTAAAAAGTTGGCAGCACTGCTGATAGTGCGTAAAAACTCGATATCATTATAGTCGAAGTCCGATGATAGTTTTTACAACTTTGTAATCAAGTATTTGCGTTCGGGACTGTTCTTCTGTATATTAAAAACAAATTTGTCTTTTACTCCACAAATATTGGGGTTAAATATTTATTCGCTGCGCACTTGGAGTTTGATGTAGATACGTAGGTGTGGCAGTTCAATTGAATAATATTCAATTAAAAATACACTACTTATGCAAAGCAATGAACCCATGCAATACGCATGCGCTAGCGCGTCCCTTAATATTTATTTTTGTATGCAATTTTGTAAACACATAAATATAAACGTAAATAATCAAAATATTCAAATCAATTGTAGATGAAGGCAAATCAGAGCAGATTTACAGCATCTACTTCTAGATATTTAAAAGATTCATTCTGAAGAAAAACAAACAAGTTCGAATATCCGCGTGTTTTTGGACTTTTGCAGTACACTACAAAACCTGAAGCATAATTATTCATTGGGTCCCGCGTTAAGGATTCTACTTTGGCAATTGATTAAGCTAAGTAAGTACATACATATGTATGTATATTGAACTTGTAAGAAATCATCTCCGTAATATTGGCATTTGAGTATATACATTTACATATATACATAAATATGTACCTACACAAAGGTCTTTGTAAGCTATATCTAATCATATCGGGTTATTTTTTTCACATTTTCTATGTATGTAAATGCAACGTCATTTTTTTAAGACGACTATGAAACACATAATATGCTAACTTCAACGACTGCTATTGCTACCAGTACTAGCAAAAGCCACCACCAGCATCAAATCCCATTTTCCAAACAAAACAAATTATATACAACATATTCATTCAACGTTAAAAGCGTCGACATGAGCACTTCAATTGGTACAACAATGTTAACTACGAAGGAGACGTCATACCTGCCGGCTATAGCAACTTGTAGTAAAATACCTTCAACAAAGATGTCATCCTACCATCAACGTAATTTTATTCTGCAAACACAAGGATCTAATTCTGGTTGTAATAATGATATTGACATAACGAGCTCGTCCAGCCAAACAACTCCGCTGGATGAAACACTGTCGTCCTTGCATATTCACACAAAAGAAAACTTTACTCCCTTGTTTACTCATAAGATGCCGCGAACAATACCATCAGATAAAGTAAGTTTCAAGTTGACTTATATATTAAATATTAGACTATATCATTATTATTTATTATCTTGTCGATGATGTATTTGTAACTGATTTATAACTGATCAAAATCTTTCGATAACTAAAGGGCGAAAATTTTATTCGAAACCAGACCCCGAAAATCAGTTTTTTTCGGATGTGCTAAGAGTTGGCAAACCACTGAGGATGGAAAATCAGTAATGTATATACACGTGCCACTATATACACTAGCCGTCTGTCTGTCCATCCGTATGTATGAACGCGTCTCAGAAGATTTAAGAGCTAAAGTCTTGAAGTTTTTCCAAGGGTGTGTATATCACACGCATATCGAGTTCATCTCCAAAATCAATAACTCATCCCGTTATTTTATCGATCAAACACCTTATCGGAAATCTGTGATAAAGTTATATCTCCACCATCTTTAAAGATACTCTCCAAGTTTAATCTATATATATAAAAAAATGTTGTTTGTGACAAGATCTGCTAGACCACTTTTCATGGTTTTTAATTTGTTGAATTTGTTCCGCCCCAATTAGCAGACTTGAGCAATTAGCAGATACTTGAAAAATGCGTTGCCCCTAAAAGTTACAGTAGAATCCGGCTATAGCGACACTCAAGGGACCGACGATTTTACGTCGCTATACCTGGACGCTTTAACCAGAAGGTTTCTTTCATATAAGTTTGTATGGGGACCAACCAAGACATCGAATTTTCGTCGACA